CATGTGGGATCCTACGTCTTAACTACCACACCACCTGCTGGGCCAGTAGAAGTATGAAATGAAAATAACATGAAAATAACAAAAATAAACTAGAACATAGTAAATACATAGACCAGTTACATAGCTGTGTATTGTCATGACCAAGTATTATGCACATCATCATTGTATCTGCTCTGCTTCTGCATGACTGGCGGTGCAGGAGGTTCATTTACCTGCATCATCTGACACACATGAGTAATGCACTGTCCCATGACCTTAGGGTGGCTACTAGGTAATGGAAGCTTTCAGCTCCGTTATAAATCTCATGGGCCCACCGTTGTGCACGTGGACCTTCACTGGCAGAAACATCATGTGGCTCGTGACTGTACACACACTGCTCCGTCTCCCCAGCCCTACCACAGAGGTCCTAAAGCCCTTGCAGATAGAGGTGCTAGGAGAATCTCCTCTTCTACATTTGGCCTCTGACCCCAGCTCCTGACAGTGTTCTTAAATCTCTTGGAACACCCTGGTGATTGGAGTACCTTGTGTTCTAATGAGGTGACTCTGTGGGTTCCTAGATAGCCTCAGGATTAGGGATTGTGACCAGGGAAATCAAGTCTGTGATTAGAGGGTTGGCAGTTTCAGCCCCACCCCCTGACCTCAAGGAGGGAAGAAGGACTGAAGGCTGAGTTGATCACCAATGGTCAACAATGTAGTGAATCATGCCGACCTAATGGGTCTTCCGTAACAGCCCCAGATGACAGAGTTCAGGGGACTTTGGGATAGCTGCACATGTGGTGGGTGTCTGGAAGCCCTGCACCATTTCCACGTGCCTTGCCCTGTGCATTCCTTCCATCTGGGTGTTCATCTATGTCCTTTGTAATAGGCTTACAACAAATGAGCAGACAAGTGAAGCATTTCTCTGAGTTCTGTGAGGTGCCTTAGCAAATGAACCAAACCTGAGGAGGGACTCACGGAAACCCAGCCTTATAGCAGGTGCATCAGAAGCACCGGTCACAACCTGGGACTTGGACTGCTCTGTTCCACGTGGAATCCAGCATCCTTAACCACCAGACCCCTGGCAGGCCTGAGCATCAATACTTTGATAAAGAAAGTTAGAAGGATCCCTGTTTCAATTATTTATCCTCTCCATTGAATCTTAGTAGCATGTCGACTCTCAGAACTAGGTATAACCGTAGACTATATTCATAGTAGATGCTTTGCTTTCTCCTGCACACTCCCCTCTGACCTCTCCCCAGGCTTTTTGGGCCCACAGTAGGTAAGAGGATGCGAACCAGGAGAAGGAACTGCAGCGGCATCCTGAGAAATCAGTTTCCCAAATGCTCTCACAGAGGGAGGCCTCAGAGGCGGGGAGGGTTCCCCGAGGGCCGGCTGCAGAGGGGAAAGAAGCCGGTCGCAGCAAAGGATGCACCGCCCAGGGTTGAGGACTTTACCTCGGGGGAGCGGCCAAGAGGCCCGCCCGGTGGCTGCGTCTCCTCGTGGATCCGAGCAGTGAGGGGCGACAAGGAGCTCTCCTGCTCTGAGGCGGAGAGGGCTGGGGAGGGAAAGTCCCATCTCCAAGGGATCTGTCAACACAAACCCGCCACCCCGCCTTCCCAGCCCGCAGCCCCGCCCAGCGCAGCGCCCCGGCGACCCTCGGCACTCCCCAGTGCCCGAAAGCCGCGCACCCTGGGCTCCGCCGGGGTACCCGCCCGCGGGAGTCTTCGGGGCTGGAGTCTCCGCTCCTTTCCAGCCTCCAGGGAGCCTGCGGTGGGAGAAAGCTTCGAGGGGTGCGGTGGGTTCCTGCACGCCCCACAGCACCCGGTGCCCAGCAGGGGTGATAGACAGGGACTGCCGGACTCCTAAGGGGGGGCCTGGACACAAGCCACCGTTTGCTGGGTTTCCATTTAGTACTTTAAAGGCGGTGTGACGCGAAAGGTGCCATTTCTTACTGTTCATCTTCAGCGAATCCTCAGAAAGTTTTAATACTTATTGCCAACTTCAGTATTATACAGGTAATAGAAAAGCAAAGGAAACACAGTCCTGGTAAGTTTCTAACAGTTCTGGTGAGACTCCCTTTAAGTATTTATTGTGAAGCCTTTACATTTTTTCCTTTGTATGTACTAAATATCACTATGGAAAGATGTACATAATACATTACCATATGAAAAGCAGCTTAGAAAATTGTATGGAAATATGATGTTTGTTGTAAATAAACTTGTTGAAGAAGTCTGGAAGTGTATACACCTAGAAGTGTGTTCACACGTGATTGGCTTGGAAAGTAGGTTTTTAAACATTTTTATAGTTCAAATGTATCTGTAATGAACATGCAACATTTATGTAAAAAACAAACTTTAATTAAGTTTTATTCTGGCCAGCCAAGGGATACTGGAGCCATACTGGAAGTCCCCAGGCACACGGTGCCCTTGGTCCTGGGGGGCTGGGGCTGGGCTAGATTGTTTGAGGACCCTGAAGGGGTGCCTCTGGCTGGCTCTTTCTTACTCTCAATCTCCTAAGGAAGAAATAAAAAAATAAACAAAGGAAGTTTTATTCTAATCCAAGCACCTTGCTTTTTTCCTGTTGCCTTTAATACCTTTGAGTTTGAAAGAATACCAACTAAATAAACTAAAGCTTGGTGACCTGGGACCCAATCAAGTCCTCTGACAGAGGGCAAAAGAACCAAATGGATAAACACGTCAATCAGCTGCTGTCACAGCCCACAGGAAACAGCTCTTGCTGTGCTCTATCTCAGACCCAGCCAAGAGAAATACGACAGGACATTTTGTCTCATGAGGGTTTCCTTCTGCTCTGCCAAGTCTCTGAAGTAAGGTATCTTTTCCCCTTGAATCCATGTTCTTTCCACCCAAATGAAAAAAAAAATTTGAAAAGAATTATTTAACTTTATTTATTTGTTTATTCATTTAAAGCTAACCAGAGAAGGACAGAGTGAGAGAGAGTGAGAGAAAGTGAGAAAAGCAAGCTGCCAGGTCTAGGACTTGAACCATGGTCAGCCATGTGGGACTCCAGTGCCCTTAACCACCACGCCACCTGCCGGCCCCCCCGAATGAAAAATTCTAAGTGTTGTATATAATGTTCCAGTGACTTTCTAATTTTTAAAGGGTTTAAAATGCTTCTTAAATAAGGACAATAGGATAAACAGATTGCAATTTGAATTTAGAATGCCCAAAAGTACTAAAATCAAAAAATTGAGTAAAAAATATACTAAAATCAAGATTTTTATACACACACACACACACACACACACACACTCTCACACACACATTACATGGGTCCCAAAGAAAGTGCTTAATTGGTGTCCTGGAAATAAGGCAGAAGCATAGGCATCTTTTACAAGGTAAAGGTAAACAAAATGTGGTATATCCATACAACTAAGTGTGTTCAGCCGTAAGAAGGAATGGGGTACTGATACATGCAACAACGTGAAGTGCGAAGCTTCGAAAACATGCTACGTAAAATAATCCAAATACGAAAGACCACATATCGTATGATTCCATTTATACGGACTGTCTAGAATAGAATACCCACAGAGATGGAAAGTACAGTAGCAGTTGCCAGGGACTGAGGGGGATGGGAGTGAAGAGACTGCTAGTAGGATTCCTTTAGGGGTGTTGGACATGCTGTAGAATTCACTGTGGTGATGGGTACAACTCTATACTACTAGAAATCACGCAATTGTACACTTTAACAGGCTAAGTGTTATGACATAAATTATTATTTCAATAAGGCTGTTTTGAGGCCAGTTCCATAGCGTAGTGGTTGAGGCCAAATCTCACACAGTCCACCATGCTTCAAGTCTCAGCCCCTGTAGTTTGAAAAATATAACGGCACACGTGCATACATGTCCCAAATCACGACCAGATGGAGAAATGAAGAGAGACTGCAGTGTAACCACACTCCACTGGGGGATGCTTTCTCCTTTTCTCTGTCTACGGTGAGTGCACACACCCTCTGACAATTAAAAAAACAACAAAACATCAATCTAATTTATAAAAAGGTGATGAAGCTAATGTTTGCTAAGCATTACTATATCAGCTATTGTGCTAGTGCCCTTGGGCTTTTTCACTGCTCATATAATCACTACCAGTTGCCTATTAACTTCATTTTCCAGATGAAAAACAAAAATTAATCTCACCCTGGGTAGGTGGTACATGAACACAAAGCTAAGGGTGGAATACATTCAAATCAAGTTTTCTGCAGATTTAAAGCCCAGGTTCTTTCATTACGACACTATTTAAATGTGTACAAGGTACAGAATGTTCAAGGAAGATACAGAACATCAAATTTTATAATTACAGTTCACTTTAAAACAAAAATTTGCTGTGGGGCGAGTGTGCTCACCAGGAAGAGAGAATTTGAGAAAGTATCCTCCCCCAGGAGGGGGGCAGATGATTACACTTCTCCATTCTTCTCTTGGGATTTGGGCATGCATGCACATGTGCGTGGTCTGTTTTTGAAGCCTCTGGCTCCGAGGCTCGAACCATACAGTCCTGTGGGATCCAGGCATCTTAACAATCATGTCACCTGGCTGGACCTACAGTTCACTTTAAAGAACTGAACCTGTAGATTCCAAGATCACAGGCTGTATGGGATTTTTCAAAGCAGATGACAGAGACGAATTTAAAACAATGACTTTATTAAAAAATAGCATATCTCACAAAGACTTATTTAACATCTTATCACTGGCCATTGGAAAACACACCAGCGTGTGTACCGATTGTCTAACGTAAACTGAAGCTGGGCTGCCATTAGAGGCCTGCGCGTCATCAACTTACGGCCAACACTGGAGTAAGCTGGGTGAGCTCAGGGAGGACAGATCCTTTAGCACTATCAAAAACATTTAGCACAATGCATTTCAAGTATAACCTCGTAAGGCCACGAGATGAAGCACAGCAGCACGACCTCGGCATCACATTTCCTGATTAAGCCTGCGAGGAGGCCTAGGCCTCCAGTTTCGGCGAATTACAGTGAGCCAATTTACTAAAAAGCAGTATGTGAAAACAATCATTGCACTTGGACTTTAATTACTTTAATTCCTTGTGTGGAAGATGATTCTGCTATTGGATTCAGCTGGGAAAGTAAAGAAGGCTGCTTCTCTTCAAATAACAAGAAAGCAAACTGCATTTCACGTTAGCTGGAAGAAGTATTGGGAACGTCTTGTGTATCTGCCAAGTGGAGTTTTTGTCTGAATTAATCAGTTAAGAAGATTTTCATTCTATAAGGAGGACTTCTTTTTAATTTATAGCCATTACTCCCAGAAGATAAGAGTCAGAAGTTTCAAAAATAAAAAAAAAGATATATCCTTAAAAGAAAAGTTCCTGTGCTGCTTTTGAGACACTTGGATGTGGTAAGACAATTTTTAAATGTAATAAATTATATACAATATGTCAAAAATTTAAAAAGTTTTTTTTTTAAATTCACCAAATTAAATCTATGTTCCAGGTTCCAGTAGAGCACAGAATTATTTTTAAGGCAGTAAGATCCATTTGTAAGGAACTATGAAAAGTTACTGGATTAAAAAAAAAAATCAGTTGGTTTACATACTACTTCATCATCTTTTGGAAAACAATTTCTTCATAAAAGTCCAAAAAGAAAATTTTCACAGCTTTAAAATCTTTTCTATAATCCTCTTAATTATTCTCAAGAGAACTAGAAACAGGATGGAATTGCCACATAGTTTTATTCTCTATCTTTCTTATAATCCTTGTCTTTCTCTTTCACTTAGATTTATCTACCATTTACTGAGCTCTCAAGACTTAATTGAAACAATGACATGAATCCATTAAGGAAAATGAAATGCTAGCAATACATACAGGGCAGAGCTTGCAAAAATACACAGATAATGGTCACGGCTGTCAAAAATGTCCTTATTCAGGTGGAAGGCTAAGCTTTAACACATGTATGAAACCAGCAGATGGAGTAGTGGTTATGTCACTGGACTTTCACAGGGTTTAAGTCCTGGACCCAGCAGCTTAAAACTCATACCAGGTGCGAGTGCATGTGCGCCCCAAGTCCCGAGAGAATGGAGGAGAGGGGACTGCAGCGTGGCAGCCTCTCTGAGGGATAAGTTCTCGTTCTCTGTCTCTCTGTTTCTCCCTGGCGACTGCATGCACCCTATAGCAAAATCTCTATCTTAAAAAAAAAAAATTCACACATGTAAAAATCAACAAATAATAAAGTAAGGCAGTATGCTAGCTTGAGGTACAAACCAATGCTTAATGGAAGTGGCTGACTTGAGTATAATGCGTAAGGACAAGAGGGAAGCCAGAGCAACCCAACGTAGAAAGCGCAGCGTGAACGAGGGCGTTATGAGAGCAGACATGATATCTGGCAAGTCATAAATATTCACAGAGATGAGCTAGTATTAGTATTAGTTACTATTACTGGATTTGTATCTATTTCCTGTTTCTTCACTGTTCCTGTACAATTCAGATATTTTTAAGTCTATAATGTTATAGCAATAAAAGTAATTTTAAAATATTCCATATTGTTTGAAACTTTTCATATATACGTCATTGCATGTAGCAATTACCTTATAATAGAGAGGACACTAAAATATTGAATGATCTGCTCAAGGTTCCATTATCAAAATGTGGAATCAGATTTCAAAAGTCAAACTCTACAGTCTACAATCAGTATCTTTTTTTGGGGGGCGGGGAGTGGGGAAGGTTTTTGCTATAGGGCATGTGTGCTTGCCAGAAAGAGAGACAGAGAGACAGAAAGCGAGAAATCACCTTTGGGGGGGATGGCCACGCTGCAATCCCTTCTCTACTATCCTCTCGGGATCTTGGGCACACACACACAGGCACATGGTGTGAATTTAAGCCACTGGGTCTGGGACTCGAACTGCAGTCAACTATGTGGGAGTCCAGTGACATAGCCATTATGCCAACTGCTAGTCCCTACGACTGGTATCTTATTATCTGGCTCAAAGGGGATGTCTTACCTCTCATTATTAAGAATTATTTTATTTAGCTTTATTTTATTTATTTTAATTTGGCCAGAGAGAGACAGAGAGAGGGAAAGTGAGAAAACAAGCCACGAGGTCCAGGACTCAAACCATAGTCGGCCATGTGGGAGTTCAAGCACCCTTAACCACTACACCACCTGCCGGCCCCAATTACCACTATATTTTTTAAAAAGGGCCCATTTTTGCCTTAGGGCACATGTGCTCACCAGAGAGAGACAGAGACAGTGAGAGGGAAAGCAAGAAATCACCCACCAGGGGGGATGGCCATACCACAATCCTTTCTCCTCCATTCTCCTACTGGGATCTTGGGCTCAACGCGCTCAGCATTGAGTTTAAAGCCACCAGGTCTGGGACTCGAATTGTAGTTGGCCATGTGAGAGTCTAGCAATGTAACCATTATGCCATCTGCTGGCCCTGTCAAATCATTTTTTAAAGTAAAATAATTTCTTGTTCTTATGTACCTCACCACTGTACCTATCATTGTGTTCAAAAATACCTTTTGATAAGTTTCTGAAAAATTGCTCTAAATTTAAATGTAAAAATCTGAATATTCAAGTGCCTTAAGCATTTCCTGTAACATAAAACTAAATTATGAAAATGTCATCTCATGAGCTATGTAAGCATCCCTGGAAGGCTGTACTTTACTCTTTCAATTTTATGTACCTAAAATATTCTTTAAAAATATTATTTGATTTTATTATTTAATTTGATCAGAGAGATACAGAGAAAGAGAGAGGGAAAGTGAGAAAGCAAGCTGCCAGGCCCAGGGTTTGAACCATGGTGGGCCATGTGGGAATCCAGCACCTTAACCACCATACCACTTACTAGCCTGATATTAAGTATAAGATATGATCTCTGTATAGCTGTCAGCAGACCTTAGAATCTAACATTTTTAAATACTTTATATAGCAACAATCCAAACCTTTGATTTTATGATTTAAAAAATGTTTTACAAATTCAAAACCAATACATAGCAAAACAGAATGAATCAGAAATGAACAATATTTTAGCATACAAAATTAAAAACTTCCGTTTGAAAACCCAACTGGAAGAGCTAGCCCCAGCAAATATTACTGCACATTCTTGTTCACTATATCTAAATAACTCTTCTTTCTAAAACTTGATTGGGACTATTCACCAGAAATTATACGTTGTAAACTTTTCATTGTTGATAGTAGGCAAAGGATACATGGAAGAATTCAACTCTTCTAACTGTAACATAAACAAACAAATTTAATTTTAATTTGTACAACATAAATACAAGTGGATAGTTAACTGTATGTTCTCAAACAAATTATTTTTAATTTCACTTTAAGTAAAAAGCAAAATATTAAAAACAAAGACCTTCAAAAGATATCTAGGCTGGGAAATTCCTTTTTATAAAATCATTATAAAGTAGTTTTAGTATTTATGAAATAAGTATATGAGGAGAATAAACCCAGATGATAAAAACTGGAGTTTTGGTAAATATTCTCAAACTACACATAACTACAATTTTTAAAAATAATTTTTAATTGTTTTATTTTATTTTATTTATTCATTCATTCATTCATTTATTTTAATTTGACCAGAGAGAGAGAGTGATAAAGGAAGCCACCAAGTCCAGGACTTGAACCATGGTCAGCCACGTTGGAGTGTCCAGCACATTAACCACCATGCCACCTGCTGGCCCCATCTACAGTGACTTCTAATAGTAGTTTTGAATGAAAAAAAATTGCCATTTTAATGATCAAAATCTTCAAAGCCTTTATAAATTACAGAAAGATTTAACATGTCATTCATGTGAAATATGAAGTCATTCATTTTCAATATGAAGTATAATGTATCACCCTTTGTTTTAGATTGCTTAGGTTGCCATGAAAAATACCATAAATTAGTAGTTTATAAATAACAGAAATTTATTTCTCACAGTTCTGGAGGCTGGGAAGTCTAAGAATAACACACCAGCAGATCTGGACTAAACAAACCTGGACTAAACAAAGGCTTTCTGGCTTCAAATACAGTGTCCTTTTCACCACAGTACCATTCTTTCCTAAATATATATTGGCTTGTCAGAAAAGTCATGACATATTTCCTTCTATGTTATCCTGTGCAGAAATTTGTCATGACTTTTTTGATAACTAAGTAGCAAATTCAGTTTATATTTGTTAAGAGGAATAAAACATGACTGGAAAAAAGGAAATACCAGTGAGAGTTAACATGACAGACTTGCAATAGAGTATACATTTGACATTTTAAAAGTAGTAGCACACAATTCCCCTCTCATTTACTTATTCAAAAGATAGAAAAAAGCAACAGAAATTCTTGCCAGTAGTGAATGTGGAATCTAAAACTAACGTGTCAATTTGACTTCTTTATTTTTGTTTCAAAGGGATTAAAGGAGACAAATTTCATTAATTCTTCTCAGTATGACAATCATACATGGTGTTATGGACTGAAATATGTCTCTCTAAAATGTGTATGTGTTAGTCCTGACCCTCCAGTGTCTCAGAATATTGAGTGTATCTGGAGACAGAGCCTTGAAAAAGGTAATTAAGCCAAAGTGAGGTCATTTGGGTAGACCTTAATCCAATGGTTAAAAAGGTGAGTTTTGTTATGAGAATTTATTATTGCAATTAAAAAAAGATTTTTTTTTTGAAAGAATAGAGCAAAATAACCATACTTACATCAGACAGAAGCCTATCCAGATTGGAGTCACTAGCTGTCTTTCTTTTATCCTCAGGAAGTTCCTCTAACTCCCCATAGAGCTCCAAATTCAAGCGAGCTAGTTTCTCCTGCATTCCCCGAACATGTTCCATCTGTTCAATGGAACATTCATTTCCTGAGGAACATTCCAGAACATTAATAAAGATTAGGAGAGTTCAAACTAACAACTTTGAGGAAATCTTTTAAAATTCTAAGTGCTCCTGGGAAGAGCAGATAGCGTAATGGTTACATTGCTGGACTCCCTCGTAGTTGACTGTGGTTCAAGACCCAGACCCGATGGCTTAAACTCACACTGGGCACTTACTGGGGGGATGATGTCTCACTTTCTGTCTCTCTGTTTCTCTTTACACACCTTACAACAAAAATCTCCCCCCCTCAAAAAAAAAAAAAAAAAAAAAAAACACAAGGAACCTAAAAAAATTTGTTTTTTCCTCTAAAACAATTGGTTTCTTCCTTTTGTAAATGACATTGTAATGACTACATAATTTCTATGTAATAATTACAAATCAATGTTCTGGACCAGGAAAATAATGAATGACCAACCTAAGAAAAGACCTTCGACACTAAAAAAAGAAAAAAATCATACAGGAAGGATTTTTTTTATAGCAAAATCAGGGTCCAGATTGTGTTACAGTAATAAAATGCAATACTCTGCAAGGCAATTTCACATGGGAAGGTTCCGGGTTCAAATCTAGGTACAATGGGCACACACTTGCCCATGATTTGGGGCTGACTGAAGGCTGAGGTAGATCACAGTGTTAGGATGCTGTTGGGGGTACACTCTCTTTCTTGGTCTCTTTTGTTCTTGCTAAAAAATAAATAACTTTTTTTAAAAAGGCAAAACCATCCCTTAAGTTGAGAAAATATATTTTCTTCTTCAACAGCAAAAGATAGCAAGAGCACCATCTAATCATGCCCAATTTGATAACTGCTATTTAACTAAGTGAGGCAATATTGTATAACAAGCTGAGTAAAATGAAGAGTTCTATTAGAATTTCAATCATGTATCATCTTGCCAATTGATTTTATGTTCTTCCTTTAAGAAGTGTAATTGAAAACATTTATGAAAACCTAAAGAATGTTGAGAAGCAGGAGCAACATAATGCGGTATTTTCAACTGTACACAGAGAAGAGTAAGACAACTTAACTGCTAAAGGGTAGGTCTGCCATTATTTATTGATGAGGTCCACTGAACTAAGATCTGGCCAGGGCAACCAATTTATATGACATATATTTTCATCTGGTTTAAGATAACCCCTGCAACCTCTTGATACAATCATTTATTTCCAATACAACTTTGTTTTTCCTAAAGGTATTACACAATGATATACTGTAGCTTAGTGAAAGGTGAAGTGCATATCTTAAATCAATATGAATGAATGTAAATTACAGTTTCCTCTCACCAACTTTATGACATCATTATAAATTGACTATACTACATCATGTTAAGGGCAACTAATATAAAGCTAGTCATAACTCTGTCAAAATCACCCTTTTTTCATAGCACAGTATGTCATATTTCCTTTATTTTTATTATGTTTTTTAACAATTAGTAAATTAGATGGGACCAGCAGTTGGCGTAATGGCTATGTCACTGGACTCCCATGTAGTCGACTGCAGTTGGAGTGATGGCTTAAACTCATGCTGGGCATGTGTGTGCCCAAGATCCTGAGAGGGGAATGGAGGAAAAGGGATTGAGGCATGGTCATGCCCCCAGGGGTGATTTCTTGCTTTCTGTCTCTCTGTCTCTCTCTTTCTGGTGAGCTCACATGCCCTATAGCAAAGACCTCCCCCTTGAAAAAAAAAATAGTAAATTAAAAGGTCAAGTGGAAAAATTATCTCAAGATATATGAGCATGTGTGTAGCAGCAGATGTGTGTATATATACATACATATATATATATAACTATACACACAGAGAAATATATACAATAAAAATATAAAGAGGTAGAAGTTACAAGGGAAAATGATGAAAGTCAGAGGATGGATCTAGGTGACTTAAGTGAGGACAACAGAAGCTTCAGAGGATAAAAGGGAATAGATGGGGCTGGCCCCTTACGGCAGTGGTTAAGGCTGCACACTGGAAGCCAGATTTCAATTGAAGCCTGACCCTGGTGGCCCCTGCATGTGGCACCTGCAAGCCTTGAAGTCCTGAACAGAATGGAGAAGGAAAAAGGACTGTGGTGTGATATATCCTGTTGAGAATGCTTATCTCTCTGGTGAGCACACTTGCCCTCTAGCAACTGAAAGAGAAGAGAAGAGGGACACAAAGAGGAAGAGAGAGAGAAAGAGGGAGAGGAGAGAGAAAGAAGGAGGAGGAAGAGAGAAAGAGGAAAGGAAAGAAAGAAAAGAAAAGAGAAATAATAAAAAAAGAAGAAAATGTTCAGCAAGATGAAAGATGAGTCAGCAGATAAGAAAGGCTCACTGATTCCCATGCAGGACTGATGAGAAAAAACATAGTTCTATGCATATCCTGGTAAACACCTAACTTCAAAGATAAAAGAATAATCTTAAGACAAAAAAAACCTAGTAAGAAAAAACCAGCAATGAAATTCTCACCTGCAACACTTATAATAGCAGTCAAACAGACATAGATTAAAAAAAAAAAAAAAGGTATTTCAATGTCAAAATGCAAAGTCTCCTAAGAGTATGGGCAGGTAGAGTGCTGGGAGAAAGTGAAGACATAAAAGTGATCCAAAGCTTAGATCTCAAGAACAAGAGGAAAAAAGGGAAGAGGGGGGAAGTGGAAGTATTCTGAAGATATCACCTTATAGGGATAAAGCAAGAAACTGAGGTTAATAAAGCACTTTTGTGAAATAATGTGATTTTAATATACTCCCTCAAGTAATAAGATAACCAAAAGAGGAAAACCCATTAACTATTAAAGAAAAAAAAGGTAAATATGTCTGAGTAGATAGAATTAAAATCAGAAACTTTTATGAGGTCAAATATACAATAAGCACAGGGTTGGCAGGTGGCTTATAAGGTTAAAGGGAAATTATCTTGAGATTTTCCAAACTATTGGGTTATGGGGAAAGTCATGATGCATTATTGCATTAAAAAAAATGAAAAGTATATAGTGACTTTTCCCACAACCCAATAATATACTAAGTCTAAAATACCTTCCCTGACAAACACTGAACCATTTGTATGTTAGAATTTTAAGGTATTTATTCCATAATAGCAATCCTACTTTGGCATTTCAACTAACTTTTCCTTTAAAAAAAAAAAACAACAAAAAAAAACTTCTCCCCTAAAAATAAGCTTTAGAAGGGACATTATATTCATGAAAAACAAATGATGATTCCATTATATGCTTATGCATTCTTTTTAAAGTACATATAAGATAAAAATGACACTTTCAAAAGGAACAGCAGGATTAGGTGGTGGTGCAGTGGTGATGAAATTGAACCCACATGGGAAAGGTCTTGGGTTCAAGTCCCAGGACGTTTCTGAGCATGATGGTCAAACATGCATGCATGTCCATGATCTGGGCTGGCTGAGACCAGGGGGTGGATAGCAGCATGAAAATCCAGTTGGGGATGCCTATCTCTCTCTCTCTCTTCCCCCCTTTGCCTCTCCCTCTCTCCCTCTGTCTCTGCCTCGTGGAAGAAATAAATAAGTTCTTTTAAAAAGGAAGAACAAGATATATACAGAAAATAGAATGCAAACATCTTAATGAAAAAAAAATAGTAAGAGAGAAACATCTATAACCTACCAAATGCCTGAAGTTTTCCAGAGTGGAAGTCGTTCAGCAGACTTAGGAGCCCCCTCTCCATCTCCTGAACGTCTGAGACATCAGTGAGGAAGGAATGCTGAATCGGAGTTGATTGAGCACCTTTTCCTTCTCCAGCCTGAGGTTTGGTCTTCTCTTTCATTACTCTGCAAAGATAATGCAATTAACTCTAATTACATCTTTGCCAGCTGTCCTAGATTAAGCTTTTGCTTAATTTTTTGGTGAACTAAGTAGAATCTTCCTGAAAAAGGAATCAGAATAAAGTCAATACTAAATAAAACCAGCAACTTCAAGCCAGAAACCAAAAGCAAAAAACAGGTTGTAAGACCCCAAACAAATGTATAAAATATTACTAACACATATAAAAGGTTTGATCAATACATTTACACAACATGCTAATTCTTTACAAAAAAATGAAAACAGAATTGGTGAGTCTTTTTACTACGCTACTTTCAAATTTCATTTCTCAGTAATACACATTACACCTGTCCTTTCTATTCTTTATCTTACTTGTTCCTTGAACTAGTTTGACAAGTGATCATGGGGTTATGGAGTTCCTAGTATGTAGCTGATATTTTGTCATGAGAGCCCGGTCTAAGTAAAAGAAGGCATTTAAATTCATAATCACCATATAATGAAGCGCTAACAACCTGTCATCATCATTGACTCCTCCAACTTCCTGTATGCAGGCATGAACCTACCGATTATACCTATAAGGATCTACACTCTCTAGTTCTCTGCTTCTCCACTACCACCAACCAAACAACTCAACAGCATCCCAACCAGTCTCCCTGCTTCTGTGTGTGGTCTCTGATATCCAGATCCTTCCCCAGAGGGAGTCAAGTACATTTCTAAATTGTAAAACTAGATCCTAGAGTTCACTTAATCTAAACCCTTCTGTGGTTTTGCACTACATGTTAAGTCCAAAATCCTTTAAAAAAAAAAAATCTCTGTTCCCCTGTCTCTGCTCTAGCCATACTGAATCTTCCCTTCCTAGAAATGTATTCTCTCGTCTTATATGCGAATCCTCTGCCTACACTGGCTTCCTCCGCTCACTGCCATCTCTGCCAGACTACCTCCCACACGTCCGTCAAGACTCAGCTTAAATGCCATTTTCTCACAAAGAACTTTTTGGAACCTTTAGACTAAATTTGTTATTACTACACATGTCTGGCATATACTAGGTTCTCAGCTATTTGTGTGATGCTGCTATGCACACTGTAGTATAGAAACAAAGAGAAAGCGTAGTTGCTCAGTTCATCTAGAGCCAGCTGGAGAAGACTTCCTAAGGTGATGTATGAGTGAAGACTTTAAAGAACAAACAGGGTTAACTACAAAGGCAAAAAGGGAGAGAGAGTTGGGTGTTATCTTTACAACCCAATACATACTACAGATCCTGACATGAACATGATTCAGTATTTAATTTTCACATAAAGTTGAATGAATAACTTCTCTACAACTTTACTTATACAACACAGATAAAATAGAGTACATGGGAACAGCAGTTGGCATAATGGCTATATCGCTGGATTCCCACGTAGCCAACCGCGGTTTGAGTCCTGGACCCAGTGGCTTAAACTCAAGCAGTGTGTGTGTGCATATGTGCCCAAGATCCCAAGAGGAGAATGGAGAAGGGACTGTGGCATGGCTATCCCCACTGGGGGGTGATTTCTTGTTTTCTGTCTCTGTCTTTCTGGTGAGCACACACACCCTATAGCAAAAACCTCTCATAAAGAAAGAAATAAAGAAATAGAGTACCTATATGCCCAGGGGAAGGGAGTGGATGGAAGAAAGAAACTTTTTTTTTTCCTTCAAATTTTTGTTATAAGGAATGTGGACTCATCAGACAGAAGGGGGGGGGGAGTGGGAAATCACACCCCAGGGGAGATGGCTATGTCGCAGTCCCTTCTTTTCCATCCTGTTCTTGGGACTCTGGGTATAAACACACATACTTGGCATGTTATTCAAGCCACTGGGTTTAGGACTTAAACCATGGAGTCAGTTATGTGGTATACAGTACTTATAACCACACCATCTGCTGGTCCAAAA